CTTCTTCTCCTGGCCGACGCCCACCTGCCCATTGAGCGGTCGCAGGGCGCGATGCGAGGGAAAGGGCAGCGACACAGAACGTCCGCGGCCGCACCGCGCGCCTGGGGCGCGCCGTGCACGTGAGAATGTGGTCACGCCAGGCGGTGCCGAGGGGATATAAAAAAGATCAGGAAGAGGATCCCAGGAACAAGTGGCACAAGGACGGGGGAGGAGGGAACTGGCCAGCAAGAGAAGGGTGGACAAGGGAGTGAAGCCAAACCATAGGAGAAGATCAATTAACAATAAACAGCGTTGAGATGCTGAAGTCCGCTGCTCTTCAAAAGGGCTATCCCGTCAACGGACCGTGAGGACACTAGCGATTTAGAGAACAGAGGGGGGGGCAAATCCTGACCACCCACCTACGAGGAAAACGCAGTGCCAGAGGACAGGCCAAACAAAAACGTCAAAGCGACCAGGGGGGAGCAAGGAGAGAGACCGGCAGGGGCGCGGAGGAGGCAGGCCCCGAACTCCGCACGAGCCGACCTGCAGGAAGCAAGCTCGTGCATGGCGCGGTGGCCCGGGAAAGGCACGCGCAGGGGTGTCTCTCCGCGGGGCGGGCGCGGCGGCGCGGCCGCGCCAGGCCAGCGCGCTGGCGGGCGGCGGCTCCTCCTCCTCCTCCTCCTCCGCTCCTCCCTTCCTCCTCCTCCTCCTCCTCCTCCTCCTCCTCCTCCTCCGCCTCCTCCTCCTCCTCCTCCTCCTCCTCCTCCTCCTCCTCCTCCTTTCCAAGACTTGACCAGGGTGATCATACGGCTAGGCCTTTGCACAATCCCCTGACAGCAGCGTCGCCACTCCCAAGGCAAACAAAAACAGTGATCGGTAGCGGCAGCCGAAAAGGTAATACCTTCCCCACTTCAACCTCATCCTTTGAGCTCAAAGTCACGGGCCGCCGCTACCTGAACTGGTCTAGGCTGGCCACGGCCGCAAAGAGGAAGGACCTCGGCAGTGGCGAACGCGGGCTCAGCAAGGACCAGAAAACAAAACGGGGCCCGACGGCTCAACAGAGCTTACACGGGCAGCAGGCCGCGGGAGGGCTTAGTTTTCCTCCTCTGGAGGGGCCTGCACATCTTGAGTGGGCAGGAGGAGTGGCTGCTCCTGGCTTTCTGCAGGGGCAGCAGCACTCGCATCCATCTCTCTGGCCTCCCGTGGAGGCTGGTGGCTGCACTCCTGCAGTTGAGGCCCAGGGGAAGAAGGAGGGGCAGGAGAGGACCAGAGGAACGAGAGAGGGAAAGCTGGGCCCAACAACAGGGAAGTGCCTGGCAATAGGCCTCTGAGGAGCTTGTTCCTTTCCACTGACTTCTTTGGGCGGGGGCAAATCTCCAGCAGGCCTTTAGTTTTCTGTGTAGCAAACCTTCCACAGAGAACGCAGAAAATGACAGGCAGCTCGCTTCCTTGAGTTCGAGCTGAGTGAAGTTGGTGCCCTTTCCCTCCACCCGTGCGCAGTAGCTCTGCTAGGGTTGGGGCCAGGGCTTCACATGCAAACGTACTCTGTTTGGAGCATCTGCGGAGACAAATACGGCAGCGGAAAGCTTTGCCGTCCCAGACAGGATGGTGAGGTTTCCCCTGGGACCTGGGGCGGCGGGCCTTCCTTGGCCTGGCCAATTGCCCGAACATCTCCTTGGGTTTCGGCCACGCACGTAAAACAGCACAGGCTCCTATAACTAAATTCTCATTTTCAGCTCAAGCCTGGGTGTAGATGTCTATCGTATTCTGCGGTAGGCCGTGCGCTTTCTTTCCCAATCCTGCGAAGTGATCTGCAAGTGAGTTGCCTTTAATATGAAATAAGGCAATCTCATCTTGGGCCTCTCCCTCTGGTAGGTGGGCCTTCACTTTACACATGGCAGGGATGGGTGATGAACCGAGCGTGCGCGCAGCTGGCCTCCAGTACCTGGCTTGTGGGGTTCTACCAGCAAGAGCTTTCTCTGTCCAAGTGACAAAATGACCCAGGGCAGAACAATCGCAGTGATACGTGTTACTAGCAGGGCCAAACGATCGGAACATCGCTACGGCCACTGCTGCATGCTCGGCATCTCCAGGTGATTGAGGGAAATCTCGTGGGAGAGGGGAGTAAATCGCCCGAAGGAGATTCCCCGCAATGTCGACTTCCACAACCGCCGCCCCTGCACGAGCTAGTTCTGAATTTGACGGGTTGTCGCATCCCCCGTCAGTGAAAATACAAGCCCCTGGGGGAAATTGAAATGGGTCGACTGGGTTAGAACGAGCATCCACAAACCTTAAATCCCAGTCCTGGGCCACCTCTGGTATGGAGGGGGCAGGTTGGAGGAAGTGAGCAAAGAGTGGGTGATCGGGGCCAGCTTCCAGGGCGTCCTGGATCAAATCTGGATTAAAAACTCCCTGGCGTTTCGCTGCCCCATGGACACACTCCCATATACGATGAAAGGGTGTGTCTGGCACATGGCAGAACAAACAAAGAGGTGAAATATCGTAGCCCCACTTGTGGAGCCTTTCACAAGTGGGGAGGGTCCCTGCAAGGACCTGTTTTAAAAAGATGCTTATGTTCGTCGGGCAAAGATTTGCCGTGGAGGACCTTTTTGCCTGCATACAGCCAGTATCCTTCTGCTTCTATCTGCCGAGCAATGGGGTGAGACAAGGGCGCAAGCCTCTTCCGAAATGCGGCGGCAATCTTCTGGCTGGTTAAGTCCTTGACCCAGGTCTGAGTGACCGCCGACGGGGGGCATTCAGTGAGGACCAACTTATCGCCTTGGCAGGTTGTGAAAGTGGAGGGACTGTCTATCGCCCACCCTACGCCGACAACCCACACACTTGCATCATTCAAAGGGCCCTTTGTCTCGAGCCGCCCATGATTTACCGCAGAGTTCAGCACGAAACGCAGAGGTGAGTGAGCCCAGGACGATGACATCTTTGTGTTTAACACCAGCTTCAGGACGAGTCTGGGTATTGTGCCACCATTCTGACGCATAACGCTCAATCGTGGCTGCAGCTATATATATGGGGTCTTCCTGGGACCGAGACGAGAGAGCCCATGACAAATCCAAGGGGGCCCCCGAGAGCTTCACCCCCGTAGCCGCAGCCGCCGATTTTCTTGAAATTAAGACTTCCCTGGGTGAGCAGCCTTGCACTTGGGCCCCGTAGGTGATGACTGACTGTGCACTCGCTTTGTAGAGCCAGCCTACGTGAGCCCCTAAACTTGTTGAGCCTACTCATTCTATATTTAAACTTACGCCACCTAACAGCCCTCTTGCTCAGACGACGGACCTGGGACTTCGTTTTCCCCGCAATGTAGTCTATCCCGAGATTTGGTGGAGCGTCCTCTAGAGAGCCTCCTAGGGGTCCAATAACAGCTTTAGCATGTTTCGCGAGCTCCCTGGAGTTGGCGGTGATGGTCATCTTCTTTTCGGGAACAGGGCATCCCAAGTATAGTTGAAGAACTTTGGCTAAAGACACCGTCATCGTCTGAATGGTAGAGATGCAGAGCTTCACCGAGCTGGCCCATGAGCGCAACTGGAGGTCATCGATGTGAACTCCAAGGCAGGAGTGGTCGGGGTCGAAAGCCCAGCTCTTGACAGTTGGTAAAAGATAAGCCTTTGCTTCAAAAGTCACCGATGTTGATCCAGCGATGGCCCCTCTGCGGGGACAAAGAGATGGGCCAAAAGCCCCGTCCATCAAAAGAACTCTTGTCCATCGGTGTGTGCCTGTGGTGTAGAGGATGACATGCATAGGGGGGCCAACTAGTTCAGCTTGTTCTAGTAGCTTGCAATGACATATCTTTTCGTAAAATTGCACTAGATTCCACAGGACACATAAGTCAGACATACCCTGGTCACTATGCCACTCTGCTCTTACAGCACTACGCCAAACAATGTCCTGAGGTCGCCGTCCCTGAGACATAGAGAAAGCAGCACCCAGCCCAAACTCTCGTTCCCAGGATCAACATGGGCCTCTGTGTTTAGCGTGCAGACGTGGCATAGCTGGGTAGTGGCCCAAGGGTCTTCTCCCTCCTTGGGGCTTAGGCATAAGCAGCATGATTATCATCTGGATGGGTGTAGGAGCCGTGCCAGGTACATCCATCATGTGGAAGATTAACGAGAGCGCCTCCAGTGGCCTCCAGTGCACCAGTCGATAGCAGCGGGTAATGCCTGGGATGCATGCCGCCTGGAGTACATGTTCGCATCTTGAAACGTCTCGAAATAGATCTAATAACTTCTGGGTCGGTAGGAGGAGGAACAGGTATTGGACACAACGAAGCACGACTCGGGGGAGGGGCTTTGTTAGGCTTTGCATCCCAGGCTTTTGACCAATGTTCTACCTCCGCCTCCATCCTCTTCGGTAGTGACGACGACGCGCATGGACCCACTCCGACGACATCATCAGGACGGTATTCTGAGCTTCGAAGGAAAGAGAAAGCTTTCTGAGCATGTCCGGAACCTGCTTGTGAACACCATTCCTCCCATTCCTTCCTCTGTCTGCGGCGCTCCTGGACCTGCCCCAGCTGGGAGCAGGCTTGCACAAACTTGTTAACTGGCGCCAGCAGTGAGACTCGCATAGCATTAGAACTCTTCATCTAAATGGCGCGGGCAAGGTCAGACAAGAAAGGATGCCAGAAACTGATGCCCTGTTTCCAATAGCGTCGAAAGGGCCCCCCCTGTCTCTGGTAGTTCCCACAACTGACGGAGGAGGGAGGTGAGGTAGGGGTCGAGCTTGTGCGGTCCATTCTTGACCAGTAGCGCCTCGGTCTCCTGCAATATGTTAAAGACCCATAGCAGAGCACGGCCTGGGAATACTTGGTGTAAGCCTTAGTAGCCAACACCTTGCGCAGATGCACATCTTGAAACTCAGGCGGAAGACCTCCTCTGCGGCCTCTAGCTCGTGGATCGGTCTGTGTGATACTTACCAGCTCATTCCGTGCATGTGTAGACCATTCCAAATATGCCTCATCTAAGATTGTCTGTAGGTGTGCTTGTTCATGTTCACTGGCCATGTACATGTTTCCAGATGCATGTGCACGT